AAAAAAATATTTTGCGTGGTCCTATGAAGACATGCTTGGAATTGATCTTGAGATTGTACAGCATAGGATCATTCTTGTCCTCGAGACTCGATCCTTGATTCAGAATGTTCAACGATCAACTAAAATATGAGGTTTGCATGGTCAGATTGGAAACAACCCTTGAACTAGGGGCAAGAAGGTCAGATGTGATCAAAGGAAGCTTGCATAGCTAGATGAGAAGTAGCCCTTGAATTAGGGGCAAAAAAGGTCAGATATGCTCGAAGAATCCAAACTGGGTCATTTCTCAAGCCAATGAAGATTGGCAAGAAACCCAAATCCCAGAATTTGAGAGAAGAAAATTTATGCTGAAGGACAATCAAGTTCCTATCCATAACATTAGGGGCAAATTCAGCCCCAATTGGATGGGCCCTTATATCGTCAAGACTATTTAGTCAGCAACAACAGCCATTCTCATGGTTTTAGATGGCTTAGAGATCCTATGGCCAATTAACATGGACAAGTTAACTTTTCTATCCTTGAGAGGCTCGTTGGGCCGAAAACTTGGGAGGGCGACCCAGGAAAAAGTTAAAGCAAGAGAAAAAAAAAAGAACAAAAATGAAAAAATGGAAACAAAGAAAAAAAGAAAAGAAAAAAGAAAAATGAAAAGGAAAAATAGAGCTCGCAAGGTTGAAAACCTGAAAGGGCGGCCTTGGCAAAAGTTAGAGCATAAAAGGAGAGTGTCAGCACCTGAGTGCACCTCAAACCCCGAAAGTATGTCAGGCCTGATTCCCATCTTTGGGATACGTAGGCAGCTTCATCTAGAAGTTCGGCTCCAACCATTTTCAGCTTGCTGGTCTCATCCATGTTGATTGGCTGATCCTTGTTCAACTCGGCTATCCTATCCATGTCCAATTGACTCATCTTCATTCAAAATCGGTTGTCCTATGCCATTGGAAGATTCAGCTACAAGAAAATTCAAGATTAGATCTAGGTTGTACATCTCAAGAGTTAATTCCACGTTGGTTGAGTAGTGGCCATTTGTAAACAGTTTTGAGGATTTTTAGTGAGGTTGACTAATTCTCTTGAAAATTATTCCTTTTTTTCAAAAATGGACCATTTCTTGGACCCAAAAAAGGAAAATTTTCAGTGCTCACAACTTGACTTGCATGATTTCAAATTAGACAGTCGAACAAGCATGTTAATCTAACTTTCATATTGGTCAAAATTGTCAAAGTGATGAAGCAGGGGCACAGTTGAATCAGGTTTTCTGTCTTTTCTCCATTATCAAACTATTCGCCAGAAAGGGCATAGTTGAAGCTAACAGTAAAGGCTAAAGTTTTCTCATCCTCCAAGTAGTGAGGTACCAAGCCAAGTGGGAAGCATGAACTGGAAATGGAGCTGGATATTCGATTCCCTTATCGGACGATCACACCCAAATTGGCATCTGAACCGAAATGAAAAAGTAGAAAACGCAATGTGTGAGACCAACCAATTGTATATCTGGCCAATGGGACATGTTGTAACTCATCTTGGTCAATTGAAGCCAAGGGCATCATCGACCGATCTCAGTTGTAGATCTGCTGCACATCCAGTTGCACCGTAACCCCTCTGCGGGAAAGCTCACTAGTTGTGAGCGAAAGAAGGAGAATCTAAGAATACCAGGGGAAAGAGCCCACAACTTCCTGCTTATTCATCAACAACCCAGGGGAAGGATAAAAAAAATAAAAGAGATTAAAGAATAGAGAAATATACATTGAGAGAAAAAGTGAGGAAACGGCTTGTCAGAGAACTAGAGATTGAGTGCCAGAGTGATATGAGAATCACAAATAAGAAAGGGTGGAAAACAATACCCGGAGAAGCAGGCTCCCCATGAACCGATAGGTCTCTCACCATTGGAACATGTCCGAGTGTTGTGTTTGTTGTTTTTGTTTGTCTCGATTCTTGTTTTGAATCATTTTGAGTCGTTCTGTGTTAGGTTGTTTTTACTTTTCCTTTGTTGAGTCGTTTTGACTGTGGTCAGCCGTAGGCTCTATAGCGATCCCGGTTTTGACCCGACTCTTGTGATGTTCCGTTCTCGGATTTAGTGCCTTTGTATTGTTGTGTATCTCCTTTTTTCCTTGTATACCTTTGAAATTGGTCTTTGGGTGGTTATGGGTGTGTTTGGAATAGGTGGGTTACTTAGTTTTCAAACCTTATGTTGCCCAGATTTTTGGCCTTCTGCTCGAGCGCCCATTATTGCGCTCGAGCGGGATATGTAAATTTTGGTCCTCCGCACGAGCGGACTTTCTTGCACTCAAGCGGGAGTTGCAAACCATTAGTACTTTGCACGTCTGCAAAAGTGCTGGAGGAGTGTCTTTCACGCTCGAGCAGCGTTTCTTACACTCGAGCGGGTGGGCGCTCGAGCGTCCTTTCTTGAGCTCAACCGGTTGGTCTGTCGTCTGTAAAAGTTCTGGAGGTGTGTGTTCTACGCTCGAGTAGGCCTCTTCTCTCGCTTGAGCAGAACAAAAGTTTGTGTCTGACGCTCGAGCGGACTGCACGCATATCAAATCGCGAAAAGCACTTTTTACATTACTTTTTCATTTCTTTTCGCCCAAAACCCTAAAGTTGAGAGTTTCTCTCTCTAAAACTCACATTCTCTCTACATTTTGACCTAGATCCTTTGATCTTTACACCCTTGTGCCTTCATTAAAAAGGCAGAACTCTTTAAGCTCTTCACTTTGATCCGAGTAGAAGTTGGTTTCGTTACTTTTGAATTTCCATCGTTGCTTGTCTCGTCTTCTTTCTTTGAGGTAGGGACATTCTACACCTTAATATGGTTTTTAACCTAGGTATTTGTTGTTTTGTGTAAATGGTGAGCTTTGGGAGGATTTGAATAAAGTTAGGGTTTGAATTCAAAATTGAAAGAGGGGCTTTCCATGTTATTTTTTACAAAATGACTATGGGGCTTGTATATGAGGTTCTCTAGTGTTAAAATGGTGAAATTTAGCCTTTGGGTTGATATTTGAAAAAGGGGAAATTTTCTTTAATTTGAGTTAGGTAACCAAATTGTATAAATAATGAAATTGATATGGGAAATATGAAATTGGGAGGGTGTATGAATGAGTGGTGTAGTTGGATTTGATAAATCACTCACTTATGGAAATTTGATCAATTATCTGTAATAAAGATTTTCTATCTGTCTAGAAATATTTGTTTTGGGCTATCGGTGGAGGATAGCTATGATTGTTGTAAAAACTGCATGAGGACTAGGTGAATTGAAACTTGTCATTTAAATTTTGTCATTGAATATGACGGTGTGATTGAAACATTGAATATGTGTTGTGGATAGTCATTGTATATGACGATGTTTTAATACATTGTATATATATAATTGTTTGGGAGGAAAAAGGGGATTTACCCCATTGTTTAGGAGGAGATAGGGGACGGAATCCATTTAAAATTAAGTTGGCCAGAGTGTCCAGGGTGAAAGTCCCAAAATCTTTTGTATATATGGGTGCCGATTCCCTCGGATAAAAACTCCGTAAAATGGCAAAATAGAAGTGTTGGAGTGATGAATGTATTGAATTGTGAACCATTGAGTTGTAGTCTCATTTTGGTTAATTAGATGACAACCAATTTGGTTAATAGATTAACCTGAAATGGATGAATGGAGATGGAATGTGGTATGGTTATCTATATTGAATGGTCATGGAAAGAATATAAGTTGGTTATGACTATTGAACTTTTATCTGAAACTTATTTTCTTAGTTAAACTTCATATATTGTGTTAGTTTATCTCTACTAGGCTTTGGCTCACCCTACTTGGAAAAACATTTTCAGGTACTGGTGATGTGCCGCCTTCAAGGACATAGCTTGGAAGGATTGAGGACTGAAGGCTCCATTTTTGTTATATTTGTGCTTAAATGTTTATTCAAGCCAAGGCCTTAACTTGTATAGAGCTTAGGACTCTTTCTTTTGTTGTACCCAAGAGATATCTTGGAAAAATGTAAGCCCGTAGGGCATTTATTTTGTTATCATTAATTTGAATTACATGTTGTAGATTCAGAATGAATGTTTATGAATGTATAATGCATGTAATTCCCTTTTGTAATAGAAACTCTGATGAATGAAGTAGATCATTTTATTATGTTCATAGATCTTATGGAATGGATTGTTGTATTATATTTTGGGGGTGTTACAGGCTCAGTACCCGGTCAAGAACTCATTCTCAATTCAATTTCAAAAAATAAATTGTTTTGTGCTCAGAATGTTGCGTCATTCCCAACATGGTGTACAAAATAGGATTCTTTCTTTCATAAGCTGCAAGGTCCAACGTCGATCAAGTGAGAGCAATAAAAGAAGGACCTATATGAAGTTACTTGGGTTCCAGACTGCAAAGCAAAAGAAAAAAGGAAAAATTTGGAGCACCTTAGTGTGTTTCAACTTCAGCAAATTCTGAGACTACATTCCAGGTGCACTTTCTCAGGCCTCGCCATTTCTTTGGAGTATGAGTGTACCTCAATCCCGAGTTCAAGCCTGCTTCAAGTTAGAATGGCAATCAAAGCAGCTTGCAGATGTTACCCTTTGCCAATATGAATAGGATATATCCTTTTGAGCATGTTACAAAGTCTCCGAGGGGTAAATCGGAGGTTCACTACAACAAAAAGAGTCTTTGGAGACGAAAACTAGTGACGGAAATAAATTTTGTCACAAAAGACTTACCTTTTAGTGAAGAAAATAATATTTTGTCTCTAAATGTACCATTTTTAGAGAGAAAAATAAAATTTTGTCACTAATGTACATACATAATAAAAAATTAGGTGACAAAATTATTTTTCGTCATTAATTTTTTTTTTTTTTTGTCGCCAAAATTTTTTCCCGCCATTAAAAAGTTTGGAAGGAATTATGCCGCCAAATTAGTGACAAAACATTTCATCTCCATTAAAAATATTATTATTGAGGATAAATATTTTGTTACCAAATATTTCAATATACAAAATTATTTAGAGAGCTCACCAAATCCGTTATCTTCGCCCAAATATAATAAAACTCTTACACAAATCTTAGGGCTACAAATAGAGGGGTTTTTTTTGGGCTGTCCTCTCTCTCTTTTGGGTGTCGCTGGTTTTGGCATCTTTCAGACTCTCTCTATCCAGCAGTTGTAGTGGTGAACGGCGGAGGACACAAATCCGGTGAGTATTTCCTCAATCTCTCTCTCTCTCTTTGCTGCTTCTCAGTTTGTTTATCTCAGTTTTGTTTTTCTCTGCTACTATTCTCTTTCTCTCCCCCTTCTCTTCCTCTTCTGCTGCAGTGGCGAAGATGGATCTCCCAAAATGTTGAATTTTTTTTTGTTGTGCATGAAACTAGAAAGAAACCTAGAAAGAGAGGAAGAGAGAGAGAGAGAGAGAGAGAGAGAAGAAAAAAAAAAGAGACGATGGGGGTTATGGATTTGGTGGAAATGGGTTGAGTTTTAGGTGGGATTTTGGAATTGTGATGATCTACTTGTTATGTTTTCAATTAACTGATTGATAACGTTGTTAACTGTTATGGTAAAACTATAATGGTCGATATATATACTTTGATCAAATCATGTTCCTAGAATTGGAAAAACATTTCCAAAAATTCTTCAGAACCTCAAATTAAAAAAAAAAAAAAAAAACAGAAAAAAAGTAAGTCAAGTCTCTATTAGGGCTCAAACTCGCACATTTTTATAGATTGTATTTCCCAATTTGGTTGCATAAGAATATTGGTTGAGGAAGATAAATGGGGCCCAAATCATATTAATGATTATGAGATGAGATCTTTAACCATTATTTACAAATTGGAGCTTCATAACATCATAAAATTGGTAGCCCACTGTAGAAGAAGATATGCAAATGAAAAGTTTGAAATCAAATGACAAATGAAAAGATTCTCTGAATGAAATCAAGCAATGGAGGAAACAAGAACGCAACCATGTTTCACTTTTAGCCTCTGTAAATTCTTAGACATGTTAACAACAGAGCTGTCATCTTGCATTATTCCCAGTCCATACCTAGCAACTCCTATATAATTATTTATTTTAATTTTTTTTTAATTTGGTCAAAAAATGAATTTTTATTTTTTTTCAACTAATCTTTTTAAATAATATTCTATCTTCTTCCTCTATTCTATTTGAATATTTCTTCATTTAAAAAAATTAAAATGTGAATCTCTTTCTTGTTCTTGTTTATTTATTTTTTTATTTTTTTATGTTTCCTTCTTAAATAAGTCTAGAAACACAGTTAGATTGAGAAAATAAATGTTATAAAATCTTATTCGTATTATTTTTTATATTTAATTTATGTGTCCAATTCTTGTTTAATTTTTATATCCACCCATGTGTTTTTTTCTTTGAAAAGTGAGAATTGGTGTTGGTCAATGTAAAGCCGGCTGCTCTCATGTTGTGAAATTTTTTTCTTCCATTTTTTTCCCTATATTTGTAGAGAAATTATTTGGTAGTCTTAAGATATAATTATATGATGTCCTAGTTGTGTTGAGATTGATGGAAATGGTGATACTCACAATTTTAGTTGTTACTAGGATAAAAACTATAAGTTCCATGAATTTATATATATTTATTTGTTAAGAAAATTTGAAAATTAATTGAATTGGGTTTTGGATTCTTTGCTGGGGACATATGTATTATAATTATAATTATATATATATATATATATGTATGTATAAATCATTTGAATTGGGTTTTGTTTATTTGCTAAAAATAAAAATAAGAAAGTTCAAGGAAGCAATGAATTTTGAATTTTTTTTCTTCTTTTCATTTGTTTTCTCAACAACTTAATGCTTTCTTATTTATTGGTTTCTGTTCAACTTTGAATGTACATGTTGGTAGTGAACGGTGAGAGGGTGAGATGGAATTGTGTAGGGATCTAGTGTTTTGGTGGTGAACAAAACATACTTTGTAATTGATTTAAATAGTGGGATTTTCTATTTAAATCGATCTATTACACTTTAAATAGGACCTAATATTTAAACCTATTATACTATTTCAATCAATCACAAAGTGTGTTTTTGTTCACCTACTAGCTCGAATTAATTGTTCGTTAGATGGGTGTGGCAAAATGTTGCTATGCCTAATCAATTTGACCATTGTAAGGGAACCTAAAATATGATTTTTTCAGTATGTTATAAAACAAATGTAATGATGGGTCAAGTGGTTAGTGATCAATAGGAGAGTTGGTGTTTAATTTTGATTCATCTAATATTTTTGTTTTTGTTTTTGTTTCTATTTTGTCTTTTTTTTTTTTTTTTTTAAAGATGTGTTAAAATTATTAATGACCATTTTTGTTAATTTTTATTCCTTGCTTGCATATAACCTTAGAACTTGTACCAGAATCTTTATTAAAGATTTGTACATATATTTGGTGAAGCTCTTATTGATTTTTTCAATTTAAATAGTTTATAAATACACAAGTCTATATTATACTATATTATTCTTAATATTTCATTTGTGATCAAACATGGATAAAAGTTGGAATGCCCTAGGTAGGACGGCTGATGAAAGGATGAGTAAACTATATAATAATGGGGTCAAGTTATTTCTTCAATTTGCAATGGGGTTTTAGACCAGAATGGTAATATTTTGTGCCCGTGTATAAAGTGTGTGAATGTTTGTAGACAAAATCTTTAGTACGGGAGCAAGCCTCTAAGCTAGCCTCCAAGATTGGTATAGAGGTTCAAACACAGTTACCAGACCTGAGTGTTCGTAGGTGGGAAAAGGTGAACAATGCTGAAAAGGAGCCGATGATCCAACGTTTGGCGGTAATTATTGTCAAACTCTTATCTTTGAAGTTGTAGCATTGTTTGATTTCTTAATTATTTCTCATCTAATGGCCTCTTCTCTATACATTCTGCTTGGGACCTATTTAGAGTTCATAGGCCTAGAGTAACTTGGCATAGGCTCATTTGGTTTAACTTCCACATCCCTAGATTTAGTACTGTGGTAAAAGTAACAACAAGAAATAACAGATTTAGTACTGTGGTTTAACTTCCACTAAAGGATAGAGAACCTAAACATAGGAACAACCACTTGTCAATACCATGTACACAGTAGGCAACATTGGTCCCAAGACATGAAACATCAACTAAGCAGCATTGGGACGATATATCTCCAACACAGCCCGTCGGAGTAGGCCACAAAACCTATAAGGACACAAATCAGACCAGTCTCAAAAGGTTTATACATATAACAACTATAAATAAAATTAAAACTAAGAGGGTAGCAGGGCGCTTGAAGCTGCCACCACTAATACCACTTATCTTTGGATAGGCGCACAATGCAGCCATAACCAATCCACAAAACCACCAAAATAAATAGCTGAATTGCCACCATTAACATTACACCAGCAAGGCACAGTTGCAATCTGACAAAAGTCACCAAGCTAAAAGAACCTAGAGGCCTACTCAATATAACCTGCCAATAATGAATAATGGAATAAGCATTACCCAAAAAGAAGTAGTACAAATTCCATAGCAGCATTAGGCTTAAGCACAAAATATTTGAGCTCACACCACTCAACCCACAATTTAGGATCTCACATCCCTCTATAACAGTTTTCTTAACCTGCATATAAAACTTTACAATATAAATAACATTAGTACATCACTCATATCAGGCCTAAACACACTCAACCCACAGAATTCACACTCCCAGATATAAAAATGTAACATTTTAGACTATGTGTCTCATAATCACTCAACCCTCACAACCTGCAATTAAACTCTTCAACCTACTGCACAACAAGAAAAAAATTAGTGTAACACTCATTTATGCTAACCTTCACTCAACTCTCATTTAGTGAACTCACATCTCTCACCAATCTTCCATTTCTAGTCACATGGGGCTTCAAGATAGTCTCAGGAAAATTCCACTGAGCAGGAAACCAGTTATCCTCTGTTGATCTAGGCAGATTATTTATGGACAAAATTCTTCCCCTTATTATCTAAATAATTGCTTTGGTAACCACCTCTTCAGGTTTGAATTCTAGGTTAAACATTCTATTATTCCTTTCAAGTCAGATGTGATAGATAGAGCATAACAAGGACAGTCTAATAACTATTGATCTCAAGGATTTACCCTTAGTCTCTATTGTGGCATAAGCAAACAAATTAGGCCAATGAAGTTTAGGCCAATTAACATTGGACATAGCTTTAAGAACATTCCAGATCCTAGTGGAGAACATGCAATCAAAAAAAATGTGAGAATGACTCTCAACAGGACTTTGATAGAAAGGACATGTAGGGTTAGGAGTCAAGCCAAACTGCTGCAACCTATCCCCAATATTTAGTCTAGAATGAAGAGCAATCCAAACTATGAAACTGACTCTAGGGATCATGTGAGGTCCCCAGATAAGCTTATGCCAAGTAACTTTGTCAAATTTATGCCTCCAATGATCCCAGGCAGATTTGATAGTGAATTCCCCATTAGGATTAAGCTTCTAAACAGGTTGATCATTTCTGGAGGAATTAGGTTAACAACTACAGGGAGTAGAGAATTAAGCTTAACAGTGCAAAAGGTAGGGTCCTAGCAAACACAAATTCTCCCTGATTTAGTAGGTTGAGAGTTAGTAAAAAAAGGCCAGTTATTCAAACTAGATGAGAAAATTTTATTTTCATTATAATCCAGACGAGGACTATGTGGAAGTGGAAGCAAAACTGTGGGGGCATCTGGAATCTTTCTTAGAAACTGCAAGATCCTTCAACATGATTTACACCAAGGTGTGCACTTGCCCCTTTCTTTCATTGGATTGTTTGCAACTTTGTTGTCTCATTTGTCTACTCTATTAGAAGCCCCATCAATTAGAGCATACTTATATTTTTCATGGCTGTGAACATGATCCTCGGCACACTTTTGTAGTGATGTAATGATAAGCCAATGCTTTTCGGTGGACATAGAAGAAATGCCCATTTATGTTACAGCTCAAACTTTACTACAAGTTTTTGAGACAAATTATCAATTCAACATTTCTGCAAGCTTATGCTGATTTTAACATGTACTTGATACTCAAGAATCTTAGTTGACATAATAATTTTGTTAAAGTGGAGCATGTGTGTGTTTGTGTGCTTCCAGGGCATGTTGGGATGCTGGCATCTTTGTTTACAGAAATGTGGGCTTGTTCTTGCATGTGTATTTACTGCTAATATATTTTGGATAATTGTTATGTTTTGTTTTCTGTAGGAAATTCGTCCTTGGACGCACATGATGGAGGTACCACTGCTTCATGGGTTTGGGCCAGCAGCTAATCGCTTGTTAGAGGCATACAAGACACTTTTGAAGGTAACTTGGTACTAAATTCATTTCATGTATTCTATTACCTCCTAGGCAATGGTTAGGCCATAACAGATGAAAATTTTGTTTGAGCTCCTCGGAAGCTAGAAGCCAATTCTTTGGTGTGACATGACATTTGAAAACACTTCCAAGTACATATTGGAAGTTTCATCTATTTATTCTCTATGTGTATTTATTCTTATCTGTATAGGATCACCAATGGCTTAAACTTTTTCATACTAGACTTAGCATTCATGTAGCCTAAGTGCCCAATTAAGATGGCAAAAATAGCACTGATTTAGTAATACGTTATTATGTATAGTTTCATTGTTGTTCAAATTCTTTCTAAGTAGTCTGATTTTATGTTCTTCATGTGTTATCTAACTGCTCTTAATTGCATCCTTGTGGGGGTGGCAATTGGTTGGGTTGGGTGATTTTCTAGAGTAATGAGTGTTTGTTTGATTCAAAATCAACCTGTTTTAATATACAAGTCAAAAGTCTAAACCCAAACTTATTTAAAATCATATAAACCCCAATCCTCTTGCTTAACCCATTTCATAATATTTTATAGTTTAAAACTTCTTTTAACCTAAACATGTGGCTTACTTTTAAATTATAAAATGTCTCAAATAATTTCAAATATATAAAAATAATTATATTATTAATTAAGTATTAATATAATTAGTATCAGAACCTTTTTCTATCAAAAAATCCAACAATTAAAAAAATTTCACTGACTTTTTAGTAATCTCGTAGACCTCGATCCAACCCTAAGAAGCATGGATATAGTGCCTATATGATGTGATGCGGATATACTGACATATTAGTTTCTTGAAAGTCAGGACACATCTGGGACATGACAGCAAATAGACACATTTTTTTTTAATATATATACATGAAAATAATAACAATTTATTAATTCTTTACGTTACAAATATATTTATCTTTTATTAGATTAAGCTAGTAATCAATTTTCACATTCTATGTGTTGAAAAGAAGTCCTAACAAAAAGCTTAAAAATCTACTTTTAAGCTTCTATTATCCATACAAATTGAAAGTTTTAGACACTAGTATTTCCAAAATTTGAAGCCTTAAGGAAGTCCCCTAGGGGACATCTCATTGGCTTAGGCCGCATTTCCTCAGTAATGAGACTCAAGTTCGAGTCTCCTTACCTTGCCTAAACCCTAAAAAAAAAAAGGAATGAAGCATTTAAGGAAGAGAAACTAATATGGGTAAATCTACTCTTAATAGACATAAATTAATGGAAAACCACTCCACGGCCTCGAACTAAATTCATTGGTTGTTAAGGCACTTTTGACATATCTATTGTCTAGCATTCATTTAAAAAAATAAAAATAAATTTAAACATGTACAATCCAAATCTATCTAACCTCTCTAAAAAAAAATCAAAACTCTATTGGCTAGCATGGATATTTTTTTTTAATATAAAAAAATATAAAATAAATCCAATCCAACTTTAATAAACTTTAACTCTAACAAACTCCAACTCTAATAAACATCATCAACATTCGATTTTTATGCTTGTTTATCATAAAATCAAAGCTTCTATTAATGATAATAAAAAACTGTTGGGTACAAAAGATGCCTATCTCAGAACTCTGGAACTCCCAAGGTAACCCTGGGACTACTATTGAGAAACACCAAAAACTTTGAGATACAAGCGATGATCCACCCTCTCCATTAACTTAACCTTGACTTCCGTATTATATTTATTTTTATATTTATTGTTTTAAGGCAATTTTACATATAATGCTCTGAATTTTCTTTACGTTGTCAAGGATCATGGAAGAAGAAAAGTCTGAGTGACTTTGGAATAGCCACTCAATGTATTTCATCTACTAAGATCAATGATCAGTATCTAACAAACGTCCTTCGAAAGATTAATTCCAAGGTAGTCTGGTAATTAAAGCTCAGAAAAATGTAAGGCTATATTTATTTAGAAATCTTTATTGTGGTGCTGGGGATGTCAGTGTGGTTGATGAAAACCCTTTTTTGTTGTAGTGATTCTAAATAAGGCTGTTTTGTTCTTTTCTTTCCTTCTTTTTAAACCACAAGCTCAACTTCTATTGTTTTTCCCTGCCTGTATTAAAATCTCCTGGTTCAATTTTTAAACTTAAACATTAAGAACTCTCTCTCTCTCTCTCTCTCTTTCTCTCTCTCTCTCTCTCTCTCTCTCTCTCTGTGTGTGTGTCTTTACAGGGAGTCTCTCTTGATGATCTGGAGATTTTGAGAGTTATATTTGGAATCTTTCCTACATATTGTGATAGGTAAAGATGCAAACATCACATGAGCTATATCCAAAATTCTCTTTGGTTCTGTTAAATATATTAATTATCTTCTAATAATCAATATGTGAAAAGCTTGGTAATGCATTAGCAAACACCTATATTTTCTATATGTGAAACGTGTTAAATAATGTTGTGGGTAATTTGTGTTCCCAATGTGTTCACATATATTCCACTTGCAAATGTCGTTGGCATATATTATTGTTGATATATGCAGGGGTCTTCTTATGCTTATCTTGCTTTGGAATTTTTTTGGGCATATACTCCTGCAATCTGACCCATTTCTCTTCTTAATTGGGAGGATTGATTCGACAGTCCATTGCCAGTAGCTTTTGATCGTGTTTTACAAGTTTTCTTTAGACCCTTTTCAAGACTCAATCAAATCATGGCCACATAGTAATGGAATGCATATTAGTCACATTATTGTCCGCTACAGTTTGGCGATGGTAGTGGCATACAATCTCCGGTTTTCGTTGGTGCTTTGGGAAGCTTGACTAGGCACTTCAAGATTTCATTTTAGATTTGTTGATTCTATGTATATTTGATTTTATGACTTTAAAATATGACCATGCATTTAATATTTTCATTTTGGATTTATTGATTCTATATATAAGTCATATCTATATGGTAATCCAAACATTTATACTAATAACAATCAAAAAAAGATTTTGCTTTATGTGGATTTTATTTGCATATACGTTGAAACTATTGAGATTTTGAATTTTTGATAATTTTTCATTATGACATTGATTTTATGGGGCCATTGAATTATCTTATTAATTTTGGAAATGTTTTGTTGATGTTTTAAAATTTCTTGATCATTTCTTAATACCTCAAGAAATATTTTTGTCCCCGAGTCGTCGATTTTGTACTTATGTGAAGTTTCCTTCGTCATTTAGACAAGAAATGCAACAGGGTTAGTTGCTCTAGCTATTGCCGTAGGTTTAGGTTCCTTAACACATACATTGGGCACCCTCGTCCGTGTGATAGGAGCAAGTGGATTTGCTACAGCTACAGCTGCAATTGTTGTAGAAACTGTTGTCGGTAGTTTTAGATAATCTCTTAATAGTTGTCGATATGTTTAGAAAGTTAGATATGCATAGTTTTGGATGGTTTAAACTTTTTGTACAGTTTAGAACTTAAGGATATAGTTTTCAAATATTTGGAATGTATAGATAATTGTTGAATGTTTATAATTTATGGATATAGTTTCTTTTTGATATTTCAAACAATATTTTGGTGGTTGATTAATATTTTGTGATGCTTGTTTGTAATATTTGTTAGATTGTACAAAATTGGTCAAATAGAACCTGCTGAATTTAAAAATAAAAAATTGCATATTCTATGGCAGGCATAATAAGTCGTCGTATTACATATTTTACGGCTTGCAATCAGCATCGTTATTTGTCTCACCAATTAATGGCATGCAAAAGTAGTCGTAGAAAAAGTAACGACGACGCACAAAATCTGCCGTTAAATAGTTTTTAACGGCGTACTATAGCATGTCATAGAAAAAGTAACGACGACGCACAAAATCTACCGTTAAATAGTTTTTAACGACGTATGAAATATGTCGTTGAAAATGAATGACTTTCCATGACTGATCATAATACGATACGCGCTGCACGTTGTAGAAGGGTTTTTACGGCGTGCATTGCGCGCCGTAAAAGCCCTTTTTTGTTGTAGTGATTGACAGCTTTTATTTTGGTTTCCAAAATTCCCACGACTTTAATATCCTCTTTAACCACAAAACTTTTAACTTCTTTATGCCTAGAAGGATTATTGAACCCTCTAACATTCCAAGATGCAATTTTAAAAGTCATTTAAAACAAAATGGGACAAAACTCAACCCACATCCAGATAAATCAGGGCGTACTTGCTAATACTAGGGACTTGTTAAATGGGACAAAACTTTAAAATTCTGTGTTGGTGTAGATGTCCCCCGAACGCCCCGGGAGGGTGAGTCCCGTTCTGTTCATTTGTGGGGTCACTACAGCTCGGACTCGATTTGTGTCACGGTTCTTAATCTTGAACCAAAGAGTCCAAATCTGGCAAATCGTTTTGAGAAACAGATTTTGAAAAGAAGTGCCAAACATGGACTGCTTTGCTAGATACAGAGTCGCCACCTAAATATTTTTTAATGGGGAAATTTAGGAAACCCTGACTCGGTGCCGAAGGCCACATGTCCGTCATCACCGGAGTTGTCTCGCCTCGGGAGCTTGGGTACGATCGGGGAAGGTCAGCTATGAGCACCCCCTTTCCC